GACGATCAGATACAAATGTCAATCATTCAAATGTGCACAATCATCATAATCGAATTCGATGTAAATAAACAATCTGTTGTATACGCCACTAGTGACTCTAGTTTCAAGGACATGCTCGCGACAACCCCTCCGCTTTAATATGACGAGCACAAAGAGAACTTTAAAAAGTTAACGGGGACTGTGTTCTTTCAGTTATAAGTCTGTAATATGAATTAATAATTAATCAATGAATTAACAACAACAAAACTACTATGGTATTCAAGATATATGAATACATAATCAAAGCAGTGATATGTCCCGATGAGATCTTGAAAGATCTCACTGAAAACTATTCCTACTTCAGCAATGTGAAATTGGCATCAAACTCAGTTTCTTGCATCAGATAAGCATAATATTCAAAATATACGAAAGTAAACAGGAATTGATCACATTTTTCATCATTGCCAATATGATGCCAAACAGATTCAAAAGCACACTTCACTCTGCTTCCCACTTTTGCAGACTTTATTGTGTTAAAAGTGTCATCTGTACAATTTATATATCTTCTTAACTCTATCTTTGTTGTTTCAGTCAACTGCAGGATATTCTGCAAATACTATAATGAAGAAATTACTTGAAGAAGATAATACTCTAGCATTGGAAGATTTAACAATTAGTGGTTCAAGTAAAAGACAACCTACTCAAGGTCCAAGGTTTACTGCTTCTCGTCTGGGTAATAAAACAGGTCCCAAGTCACCAAAGACACCTAAACCACCCAAAACTCTTGAAGCAAAGGTAAGAAGATTCATGAAATTTGGTGACATCATCAATGAGTTCTGATCAAATGCAGCTTTGCTCTGAACAAGGATAATAATAAAAATTGTGGATATATTAACAATAATGAACCTTTGCATGTACAGCTATACTGTGTGCCATTATGTTGATTTCTCACCTGGAATGCTAACTGGAATTTCAAATTCAAATTTTATTAAAAAGTTGGAACTGCAAATAGTATACTATTTTTATTTCATATGTCATTATAAAAGTGACTTCATTTGTTTTCAGACATCATTGGATTTTTCAGCCAGTCGTCCTAGGAATGCTCCTGAAAATATAACCCAGGCCAATCGCATACAAAGAGAAACAGACTTTCTGAAGTAAGTAGACTCCAGCATACTCAATGTTTTGACGACAACTTGTGTAAGTGATACATTACTAGGAAAGTAAAGGGATATTGGTGTCATAATCACATGTTTTGACTTCTGTGTGTTGGGCTTTCTCCAGTATTATAATAGATGCTTTAAGAACAAAGGGAACATAAAAAGTTATTTCACTAAATATGGTAAATATAATTTTCTCCTACATAGAGACACGAAAAACTGATAAGAACACTTACAGATTGCAAAATACAAGATATTCATCAACAGTTTCTGCTAACGATAGAACCACATGGTGTAGAACAGAGCTCTGAAATCACCACTCTAAAGTTGCACTAAAAAAACGTTTCTGTAGCTGTATTGAAATATTTGACGATACCATATCAATATGCACAAATTAAGGGAATATATACAGTCAAATATTGCTACTACATGCAAACCTTATAATTAATTGTTGCTGTTTCTGTTTTTTATAGATGTATATATTGTTTAGCTGATCGTCCTTCAGATCCATATGCCCGTTTCTGTACTGAGTGTGGTTCACCTGTACCACCTGTACCAAATACAAGATTACCTCCCCCAGAGCCAGGTCAGGTTGGAATGTGTGTTGGCTGCAATTCTATGGTACCTTTGAATACTGATAAATGTGTTGTATGTGAAACTCCAATCCCACCTCAAATGATACCACAAGCAAGTATCAAACTGCGGAGCAAGATTATGTGTAATAGTTGTGGAACAGCCAATCCGGTTAATCTAAACTATTGTGTCACATGTGAGGCTAAACTTCCTGCTAATGCCAAGGTAAATGTTTATATTTGTACATGTACTAGATCGGTCATAATCAGATCATGCATAAATCTATATAGGAACTGTAAAATTCATTTTATAGAATTGAAATAGTATAATGTTATGTAATGTAATTCAGTTTTTGCTGGGAAAGGATTGACCAGCTTTGTTATTAGTCCAAGAAAATTGTTCAGCTTGGAATGTGTCTGAATCCCTCATTAGTATGCAAGAATGTAGGAATATACCAGGAAAATTGCTTTTCTGGAGTAAATTGTAGTGTATTTTACTTATGTAAGGTCAAAAAGTGCATGGAAATTTTATGAAAATGTGTGGATGTTAACAGAATGTCGTTTGGTCACAGTTGCGCAATAAATGGGCTATTTTGGGCGTAGCTATAAAATGTGTCATCGAAGTACTCACACATGTGCATGGTTCCAATAGTTTGTGCTGTGAAGAAACTCCATTAGAAAATAAGTATTGTGTAATTTGTAGTGAGAATTTATTCAAATAGATTTATGTTTATGAATCTTGTTTCTTTTCAAAGTTATTTATATAATAAAAATTGTTTATAAAAATGTTTTTTATACTTTTTCGATGGATTGAATTTACAAATGATGAGTTATTTTGTTATACCATCACTCAATAGTTTAGGCTTTGTGTTCTTGCGAACAGGGAGATATTAAACTGTTGTAACAGTGGACGTCGATAAAAGTGAACATATTTCGAAAGTTGTGAAATCATGGTACTGTTTTGGCATTATACGACTTGCAGTTCCCTTTTGATCTCGTGTTCCCCGGTGCATTTAAAAATCCCTTTTGAATTTGGGGGACTTTGTGTGACTGACTGTGGTGTTTGTCAACTTTAGTCGAACTGTAATAGTGTGTATTAAATCTGCCACAGCGTGGAGTTGCCATCGTCTCTTGTTTACCAACTCATTCAAATACGTTTGTGCCTCAACGAGGACTGAAAAGTGATTTCCATTTACTTCGTCTGTTATAAATCAACTGTATTAGCTTACTTCGAACTTCCTATTGCCATCGGGATTATGTCTACTACACTCGGCGGTGTAGTTTGTATCAATCTTCTCGTATGAAACACACCCGAACCCGGAAATCGACGGCAAATCGAGATGGTCTCATCACGTAATTTCTTACCTTGTTCTTGACCGCAGTATACTTGTCTATGAACTTACACATACCCATGCTTATGGGAATAGTGCATCTTGGGTATTACTGTATTGATCTGTTTTCTTTAATTTCAATTAAACAGCGATTTGGCTGTGACCATGCATTTAGTAATTGTCGACTGTTTTTCTCGAATTGGTTGATTGTCATAGTAACATATGCTAAGTACAATTAAACGTCCGTAGTTGAACAGTAGTCATTTCTAACATGATTATTTAATTTAGTTTGATTCCTTCAGTTAAAAATTGAGTTTCCAAAATAAATAAATAATAATACGTACCCTCATGTATACTTCAAATTTTCATTAAAACAAAGTCAAAGTCTTTGAAATTGCTTTTCTGCATGTTCGCTTAACCATTGCTCCAAAACACACCTTTAAATACTCTTATTTTCCCAGCATCGAGATGGCTTTGCCAACTCTTGTATTTAATGTATTTTTTTTGTCATGTGATGAATGAATAAAACAGTTTGATGATGTTAATACATGCCGGTAGACTGTCGACAGTACTCGGGCCTAATGTAATTGTGTATCCTACACATTCAAATGCTGAATGCCGAAGTGTTTGATGGGAATTTCACGCAAGGGACTTTAGTCTCGAGAGACTGTCCCTGTCTGCAGGTTTCTAGTTGATATGAATAATTCATAGTTGATGCTGACGTCACTAAATTGTATTAACATAATATAAGCAAATTTGTTCTAAATGGCTGACCTCCTGAATGTGTTGGTTGTTCACGTTGTGAACACAATGATACAGTTACTCCAACCAAAATAAGAAAACTATTAAATCGTCTAGAACCTAGGAAACAACGTGCATTGTTTGTGGCAGTCAAATAGAAAACCGGAGCAGGTTGTTTTGCAGGATCAACAGAACTACGACATGCAAAGAAATCAATTTTGATCAATCTACATCTTGCCAACTCGTACGCATGCAGAAAATGTGGACTGAGATGAGAGCGTCGACTCTGCATAATAACATGGAGTTCAGGAAGAAATTTCAACAATCTAAGCAAGAGTTTTTGACAATGTCAACACGGCACGCTGACAAACACATCTCTCTCCTCTGTGTAGTTTGCGATAGTGTCTCGCTGGTATTCTTTACAGGAAATAAATATCATGGTAGTCGAAACGTTCCATCAATTTTATAATGCATTTGTCAAGATTTGTTAGTGTCATGATATTAAAAACTGCTGTGGAAAGTGTCGTGATCGCATATAGTACAGTACAGTCAAAACAAACTTTGCGTAAGTCATGGGTGATCCTAGTAGCCAGCGATCCCTGACCCTTTTCGCAATTGGCCACGATAGAATGATGGACATCTCCGCGACTACTTCATTTGCATATGAAAGTACCCGGTTCTGGTAAGAAATCTTACCAGTGAATTGCAGCCCTGGGCAGTCGGTCGTGCCTAACAGCACTCTATACTTCCTGTCTCGGCGTTCGCAATTTATTCACACCTATTAAGTTTATACACAATATTTATTAATAATAACAGAATAATATTAGGTATGACCGACTGTTGACAGTCTACATTGCCTGCTGAATGTCTCCACAGATAGCTGATATGAGTGGTGTCAGTGTCGGCAGACACTGTGTTAATTAAGCTATTCTGCATCAATTTAGTTGCTTGCTATGAACTGAGTATATTATATATTATTATACATCTCTCACCGTAACACCATAAGTTACAGCTTGCCGTATTTTTGCGGTATTTTACAATGTATTTTCATCCTACCATATTAGGAAACGCAAATTCCAAATATGAAATGATTATGCACGTAAGTGTCCTCTATAATAAAAACAAACATTGCTGCCACCAGAGTTTGACCGAATTCAACACAAAGAAGTTCCAGTCGCTGATTCTGTTCTAAACATTCTGAGGTTATTACAAGAATACTTGCGCGTCGATCGATACTCCAGCTGTACTGTCTTCATGCATACTTTGAAGTATCCTTGTAATAACCTCATATTATTTTTTGTAGCCATTATTTGCCGGGGATTCTGCTCCACCACAACCAAGTAAAGAAGGCCGTTTATTATGTTGTAATAAATGTGGTAGAGTTAATAACAGTGATGCTAGGTTCTGTGATTGGTGTGGTGCTAAGGTAAGACACAAAATGATACAATTTAGCTATATCTATCATATTTCAATTCAGACAGGATATCTATTAGAAGTGCATCTCTATTCAAAGTGCATATAAACCAGAATTGCTTTCATTGTATGCTGCATCATTGAAGTATAAACACACCATAATCATTTATGTAAGAGAGCTAATATGCTATTTCATTTCATTGATTGTGGCATACCATACACTCAACGCAGGACAATTCATCCATATCAGAAGGGTCATGTAACTGCTGAATTATGACTGGAAAAAACTGCATTTAAAAACTGTTCTATCAATCTTGCAAAACTGCAGTCCCATGTGTGTATGAACCCCCACTAGTAAACAAAGGAAATTTGAACTAAGCTTATTAACAAAAATGTTTGTAATGTAGACACTGTTCTGCTATTTTGACCATGTATGATGATATCACACAGGTCTTAGGTTTGACTGAAACAAAGAGTGGAAACTAGATTTGAGTCATCAGTGTACAACAATCAAGCCAATGTTTATACATTCGCTACTTAGTAAACAAATTACAGAATTGAGACAACATTTTTGTTCATGGTTCTATCGTAACAACTGTATTAAAAATGTATCTCATCAATATTTATATTAAACTTCACAATCCTTATCTGAAGGCATTTTACTCAACTGTCTGAATGCTGAATTCTCTCTCTTGTCTTTAATATTGGGTTCAAGTCTGGTATCACTTTTCTAATATTCAGTTTCTATCAAATCAATTTTGTTTTTAGCCTGCACCTCCAAGTTGCCACTTGATATGTTCACGTTGTGGAGGTAGTAACCAGCCTTATGCTAAATTCTGTAACTGCTGTGGTGTACAGATTGAACCACCTCAAAGACAGGATCCAAGGAACAGTGGCATCACACAAGATGGATTCACAACTTCTTCTGTAAGTTCATATTTACCCGGTATCTTAAATGTTAAAATACTGTACTTGAAAACAAGAATTTAAGATTGTATGAAAAGTAATGAGCCTGTATGGAGTCCTAAATGTAGGATACATACAGAGAACTTTAGTTGGCACACTGCTTACACAACTTTATAAAAATCTCATGTCCATCTCAAGTATTTGTTAAAATTGTTCTTGAATAATTTAGAATCCTAGAGAACTGACATACTATTAAAATTATTTGTAGAATTTGTTTGGTAATTCTCTGATGGATTCTTGGTTGCCTGTGGCGACACCTGTATCCATGATACCAAAAAAAGGTGTTGCCACCCAGACTACAGGATTATTTTATCCATCCAACAAAGACTTGCAAAAGAAAGGAGAAATGGAGGAAACTATGAGGCAAGTACAAGAAGCTATGAGTGATAGAAAACCACCACTATCAGCTGTCAGCCCTGGAAAAGGTAAGTATTATTATTTACCAGGTGCAAATAAAAGTGTGAATAAATTGAAAAGTGTGAATTCTGAACATCTGGGAACATGCAAATATCAATTTATCTGAAAAATGTGAACTCAAATTTTTGGAGAAAACATTTTATAATCATTGTGCATACTTGAGATTCAACCACTGCCAACCTGATAATGCAGTACGATCAAACATAACTCAACATTTAGCTAAAGGTAGCTTAGCTTCCTTTAAAAAACTGCCACTAAATTGTGCAGCCTAAATTTGTCTCATATTAGTAACATGAGTAAATACTACAAAAAGTTGGAAATATTGATGGAAATGGTACATGTTTTAAAATTTTGAAAATTAAGTTAACCCCTGACTGTACTGTTTATAGATGCAATCGCAATCATATAAATTTAACTAGTCACTGATTTGAATAAAATACTTCCAAATAAAGTAAATTCCATGCTTTTATTTTATTTATTTCTTCAGTATTGTAGTTTGTCAAGTGTTAAGTTATTGATATCAACCTACTGTCTATCCTAGAGTTCAGTCATGTAGGTTGGCTAATTCCCGCTGATCAAGTATGGTACCTAAAATGATTATATATGTTCTTGTTCTTATTTATATTATATTTACGCAATCATATGAATGACATTTATTTTATGTTACTGTAAGTTTGACAGTAGAAGCTAAAACAGGGTTGAACACACATTACAGTTATACAAAATCACAACCTTTTTTTTTTTTGTGAACATCGTATAATTCATGGCTTCAACACAGGCAACTGAAATATGCACATCTTTGATTTTGATTTGATTTTGCTTTAATTACTTTACAATATTGTAAGTGGCATAACCCATATTTGAGGGTGATGACACTCAAAAACCTAAAAACATACATCATTAGTTTGCATTCCATTTCAATACTCACAAAAGCCACATGTTTTCAGTCAAATTGACAGCTGTGATGCTCAATACTCTGGAAAATACACTTTCATACTTACATAAGCTCATTTCACCAAATCAAATGCTTTGAGGGCTCAGTGATGTCACATCATGAATGTCACTCAACCGCAAATGCAAATTTATATTTCCCAGCATTCACAATGGTGCATTTTTCGAAAATAGAAAGAACTGCAAACAATAAAGTCGTTATGAACACATGTAAAACATTACTTATTTTGAATCAGTACTTAATTTGTGACAATTCTGAATTCCCACGTTGTCCCAATAAGTGTAGATTTGTATTTCACAGTTTAATTCCAAAAGTGTGAATTGGCACTTCCTAATTCATTTGAAAGTGTGAATTCTCACTTTCATTTGTACTATTGAATTCATATACATTTAAGGTAGAGATGCAGTTTATTTGGCTTGCTTTTTAATTGAGTAATTAGACAATGAAGATCGTATTATATATCCAACATGTTATATATTTTCTGAAAGCTTATTATACAAACTTTGTAAAACTTGTCTTTATTTTAAATATCCAGAATGCGTTTTTGATTTTGGGTCAAAAATATGCTTTTTTGGACAAAAGTGGTTTAAAAAAAATTAGCTTAAAAACTTCAAGTCCGTTTGTGGGTAAAATTACATCACTGGATACCTTGGTATACTACTAATTCAAATGCGTCCACTCATCTCTCTAACGACTTTCAAAGTCGCACAGCATGACCTCAAAGTTCACTCTTTTCTATTTTTGCATAATTTATATATCCATGTTAATTGCGGACTTGTTATTTTTGTTCCACTCGCCGTAATAAACTGTCCGGATGCATTTTGAAGGGGGAACACCTTGTCATAATGTGTGAAATTTCGAGGCAATGGCCAAGCGTCTATCAGC